GAGCCATCATTTTTAGAGTTTGGTTTACAGTGATTTGTGCATACAAAACTCTCACTTATCAGATGAAATTAATGTGTTTGTGTATGTTTTTATGTTTGTAAATCTATTTGTCAAGCTAGCCGCACGAACTTTCTTCTCAGCGATTTTATACCCCTTTTCGTTTAAATATACTAAAACCTTAATCCAAAATTCAAGGCTACAATCCAACATTGAAGCATTCATTTCCTACATACAAACGACACAACCGCGTTCCACACTACAAGCAAATCCCTCTTATATTAAACATTCACTAAAACGAATCACTGCTGTTTAGCCACACGAAATGAAAATTCACCGCCCGAAAAACCGCCCAGTATAACACACAGGTGGATTTGCTTATATTAATGTATTTGCTTCAGTGATTATCTAATTTAGCAAAATACGAATTTGTTTCCAAGTTGCCTGGTCCAATTAACGAGGTGTGCCAACCCTTTTGATTTAAAGATTGAAATAAATATGTAAGTGGTGCGGAACATGATCACATGGTTGGTAGAAGAATTGTTATAAATACAGATGAGAAGACATGAAAGGAAATTATTTTTGTTCTGTTGGTATGTTTTAATATGTGCACTTCTGCTGAACCCTTCTGGAAGTAAAAGCAGCCCCCTCTCCCCGGTCTCTTCAGTCCCCGAATCCCCCACAATCCTTAAACTCCTAATCCCCAAAAGGCCGGTAACGTTCTTGTAATGCCTCTGGTTTTCCAGGTGTCCATGGGCGCTGATTGCTTACCATCAGGTGATTCGTCTGCTCGTTTACCGGCTTATTACATAAAAATACTTACAAATAAGTTCTATGTTAACTGAAGTCACACACGCAAGAGCCTAAACTATTTTCTTTCTTTTTTGCAACCAAAAGATAAAGTTACGATAACAATAATAATAACTTGATAAGCAGAAAACAGTAAAATGGTCTTCATATGACCCTTGAATTTAATGTTATGCGTGGATCCTTATCATTTTATTTTCATACTAGTTTCAGCCCGCGACTTCGGATGCGTATTATCTTGATTTCTTCCCCCTTTCCCCTGGGGATGTTGGTAAACCCTCTCTTAGAGATAGATTTCTTAAAAATAAGCTTTCTTAAAGAGTATCTTCATACTAAATCACAGAATTTCACTAGAAGTATTCAATAGAAGATAAGAGCGGGAAATAGCATTAGTAGTTGTTTAAACGTTGCCTCACACTAGTATTTTCTTCTGTATGGTGAATGCGTTTACAAACATAAAAGTTCATATACACAATGATACCCAGACCCAAAACAACAATTTGTCGATCACACAAAGAGTTGCTGCGTGCAGGTATCAACAAGCTACACTTTGAGCAGTCAATTCGAAGTAAATAAAAAAATTAATGAATGGAATTGACACTTCGATACGATAAATTATTTATTCAGATTTTTTTATTTACACCATTCGATAAAATAGTGGCACTTAGGGCGAACCTAATGCCAATACGACATTCTCTACCAGTCACCTTATACAAGGTGTAGTTTTGAAGCCGTGTCATTTCTCGGGGGCATGTCACAGAAGAAGAAGGTTCAATGTAAGAGAAAATTTCGGGCCAATAGTTAAAAATACGGCTATAATTAATCGTTTAAGTTCGACAGTATTTCAGAATAAGCGACAGCAATGTTTCTTATTGGAGTTTTATGGAATTAGGAATAATATCAATTACGTGTTTGAGTTTGTGTGTGTTAAGCCGCGTTATAAAAACCAGTTATAAGACGGCGGCGTGTAGTTCGCACTTACGGATTTCCGTAATTTCAGAAAAATTAAAAATATTTACTTACAATTTTTTTATTGATTCGGCTTCAGAAACGATAGCCGAGTTACCTCCTAGAAAATGACGCGGTTTTAAAACAATACCTTGTATATGTCAAACCTGACTCATTAATCGAAAAAAGCGATTTTAAAATCGTCAACAACACAAAACGTAAGAGATCTACATACTAAATGTACAAATACTTCTGAACCGTTCATCACCAGAGGCCTTAGTACGAGTTTCATTTACGTTTAAAGTATACGAAACGAGTACGCGTTCGGCATTCTGATTGGCCGGCGCCAATGAACCAACCAATCAGAGCACCGAACGCGTACTCGTTACGATTACTTTCAACGTAAAACAAACTTGTACTAAGGCCTCAGACTCAGACGCTAGTCATTGCTTGTCATTTGTTCTCAGAACAAACTTTTTACCAAACTCGAACAATTTCGAAAAAAGTTGTAACTTCATTCTTTAGATGAAATATTTGGGTTGCGGTTTCATACAAAAATAAACAATCAAGCTTTTACTTTATATTATACTAGCGACCGGCACCGGCTTCGCACGGGTGTAATATGCATATAAATGTTATTTAAGAATCACTCTATCTATAAAAAAAAACCGCATCAAAATCCGTTGCGTAGTTTTACAGATCTAAGCATACATAGTGACAGACAGACGGCGGATAGCGACTTTGTTTTTTAAGTACTATGTAGTGAAAAAAGATAGCGATGACAGACGACGGATAGCGACTTTTTATACTACATAGTGAAATGCAAAGGTTGTCTGTTCCCTTGCTTTTCTTTTACGTTGCAACATTGAAGATTCTAAAAGATAGGTTTTTGGTACATTTTAGAAAATGTAAGTAACATTTGTTTTCAAAGAAACACATAACAAAGAACACTTTACTAATACCTAATACTTTAATTAGTAATAATATTTACAATAAATCCTGCTTACCTGACGTATGTACTTAAAAATGACGTACTTAAAAAATGACGTACTTTTGTATGAAATCTCTTAGAGAGCATCCTTCGAACAACAAAAAAGTTTGTTCGACAGACATCAACCAACATTTCTTTGTGCATAATGAAAATGTTCAAACCATTTGAACTTGGAACAACGCGACGCTCGTTTTAAACTCCACAATGTTTGTGAGTTACGAACATACAGACAGTACACATGTATAATGTATACCTATTGTTTTGTTCGGCAAGTTGTGAGGAAACTTTTAAAGGGCCAATTATATCACCAGAACACCTCTTCTGTGTTTAGAGATATAATTTATATTTCGTTTTGTTTTCTAGCGAAATTAATCTGAAAATTTTACTCTTAATCAAGTGTTTTTTAGTTATTAATACAGTTCTCCTCTCTATATGAGAGGTGCTAATTGCCTATAAAAAAATCCACTAGTTAACTATGGACATAACACACATAACATAACATTAAGCCTTTTATCCCCGAAGGGGTAGGCAGAGGTGCACATTACGGCACTTAATGCCACTGTACAATGTAGCTCCCACTTTTTTCCATTTATTGTGTGACTCCTATGTAATAGGGGGTGAGCCTATTTTAACTATGGACCTTCCAATCCATTCTATAGATAAGAAGATTTGCCATAATCTTCATGTGATCTTCGCGCTTCGCAGCTGAGTTAGAGGTTTATTGAAGGGAGAAAATCATCCAATGACTTCTCCCATCCGGGTAAGTTGAGAGGGGTCAGACTCTTACTGACTAAAAACAACCCCGTTTCTAATCCTGCACTTCGAGACGGAGCCACGGTAAACCGTTAAGCCCTCCGCGGCTCTGTATCGGCATCAGCCCTATTGGGCACTATCTGTCGTAGGCTGATGGCTACGATCCATGAGGCGAACACGGAACACGACGCGCCATATAGAGATTCGATATTTAAAAACCTCTGACTATACTCGCGGTAAGAGAAACGATGGTATTGACAGACGTAGGTAATAAAAACTCACTGTAAATGTTGCCAAACGATACAAACATTGTTAAGTTAGAAACAAAAAGTCATGTATACCTATTGTTCCGTTGCTCAAGTAGCGGGGGTACTAATATAGGAAACTTTTAACGGGCCAATTATATCGTCGCATTTTTTGTTAAACACGAAAATTACATGTCAACTGCACGTCTCTTGTAACTTTGAAGTTATTAAAAGTTGTAATAGACAATTTGTGGGGACGTAATACAATAGGATGGCTTGTTGGTTTTGTGGTTGGGAAGTTTGGAGTGTGAAGGTCTTGGAGTCAATTTTCGTGTTGGGTCTTGTTTTTATTTCATATAGGTACTTGTACCTAGTATTGTTTAAGTGTTCTTTAATAACCAGGTGACATAACGCCAGATAAAATAATTTTAAGTGTGGGAGAGCCAAGCTTCGACATGAATGGGCCGGCTCGACCGGAGTGATACCACGGCCTCACAGAAAACCGACGTGAAATCGATTCAATTCAATTATCCCTCCCCCCGTAACGTACTTGTAACGCCTCTGGTGTTCCAGGTGTCAGGTGATCCGTCTGCTCGTTTACCGGCTTATCCCATAAAAAAAATTAAAGAACAATTTTTATTTTTATTTTGGGCCTATTTATCTAACTAAATCTACTATATTTATCTAAAAAATTTGACAATACTTGCATACAAAAAATTGACCAATTTCAATTTTATTCTACAGTTCAAAATTATTGATTGAAAATTCGCCTCTTAGACTTTTTTCAGAGTACATACATAGATTATGGAAGATATCTGCAAGAGGAGTGTCTAAGATATTAATCTATATAAATAAAAATAGATTTCCGTTCGTAAGTCTCGCTAATACTCGAAAACGGCTGAACCCATTTGACAATTTTTTCTCTTGGAATGTTCGTGAAAGTCCAGGAATGTTTTTTTTGTGAAAAGGGAGATATATTTTTTTCGACGGAATGTGGTATGCCAGGTCTGTTATTAATTGATTAAAATTCAAAATCTCCAGTTAGACCTAAGTATTTAATAGGTTTTCAATGGAACTAATGACTAAATCTAGTTCATCAACAGCCTATAAATGCCCTCTGCTGAGCAAAGCCTCTTCTCTAATATCTAGTTAATATTGATTGATGTGAAAGAGAACTTATCCTAAAAATAAAGAAAAAATTCCACAACATTAAAAAGCTCACCCCTTGACAATATATTCCAATATTTCCACCCATTTACCCACCAATACGCAATACCCCCCTCCACCGCGATCATTACACCCCCATTATATTCTTCCAGTCTTTTAACTGTATAATGTCTTTTGATTATATTATAAATATATGTCAATTTTATATTATGTATTTGTATCAGTAGCAATCAGTATCAGTGGCAATAGGCTCACCCCCTATTACATTGGACATATTGTAATAATAGTACATCGCATAATAATATTGTCAACACTTTTTAAATAAACTGCACAAGAAAATTGTAACCATTCATCCGACCATCAATTCAATTTACTACAATTGCTACAATTAAACATGAATAAAAATATAATAATATCTTACAGCCACCCTATTATATATAAAAATATTGAACAATTACTACAAAACAAATACAATAATAACATCACGTCTTTTACCCCCGAAGGGGTAAGCAGCGGTGGTCATTAAGGCACTTAATGCCATTGTACAATGTAACACCCACTTTTCACTATTTATGTTATGAGTCCCATGTAATAGTGGGTGTTTTCATTCAATAATTTTTATATATATTTAATTATGCAAAATGCGACACTCTCTTCTCAGAAATATGACTAGCTGTGACAAGGATGGGGGGAGGGGCAAAAAAGTCATGAAATTCGTGTGACGTAATTTATGTATGACCCCTTACTGGTCTAGTAAAAACTTTAGTTCATTTACAAACCTTACTCTGTTATGCAAGCTATCATATCCATTGAAAAAAAAGAAAAAAAAAACAAAAAAATAAATAAAACTACCCACTCCAATACATAACCCTCTGATTCTAATAAAACGTTCCAAATTGAAAGCACTTACATCTCCTAGTCCGCTGGTCACTAAGACCCAACCTTGTATCGCTTTACAAAAGTCATTCACACTAACCTAACCCTATAAGGCATATAATAAGGGTCTGTTGGACCCTAGAATCTGTCACAATGAATGCCACTTGGGGGTCTAAAAGGGTACGTGAAAAAAGCTACAGTTAACCAAAATGGTATGGAAATTTTGTCATAATATGTCTTACACTGATTTTTTTTCGTGAAATGTGAGGGTTAGGATAGTTAGTGTTGTATGTTTAGGTGTTAGGGAAGTGGCGTTTTAGGGTTATGTGGTGGATTTGATTTATGATAGCGTTATATTTTTTATGATTTTCATTTTATAATGAAACTGGCTCTCGTGACAAATGGCATTCTGGAATGCGGAAAAGGATTAAAAGAGTAACGAATGGAGTTTCTTACTCGTTCTTCCCCACTCGAATCTACTTTTTGGAACGAGCGCCTAGCTTCACTGACAGACAGGCTGACAAACTATTATTTATTTTGTACTAGCTTTTACTCGCGGCTTTGCTCGCATCACAAAATAATAAAAAGTAGCCTATGTGACATATACCAATACACACAGCGCCATCTATACCAATACTTTTGTTTTTCCTCGGGAATATCAAATTTTTCTGGGTTAAAAAGTATCCTATTATTTAATCCGGACTTCTAACTTTACGTCTGCAAAAATTCAAAGCAATCGGTCGAGTAGTTACGGCGTGAAGGTGGAACAAACAAACAAACAAACAGACTCACTTTCAGATTTATAATATTAGTAAGGATTTGATGATGTTTTAAAAGTACCAAATTATGGTTTAATTGAAATAAATACTTTTGAGATTGAGTTCGAGTTTGATTACTTAATTATTTAATTCTGACTGAAATTCGGAAGTGTTGATGCTGTTTGCCAAGAAATTCGCTCTTTATAACACAACTAGATGATTATTATAGCTAGGATAACACAGAACTCAGTTCATACAATTCCCAAAACAGACCCTTGCATCACTTCTACTTATTAGGTTATTAGGTTCTTCCCTATTTCCACTAACCAGTCAAAAATATAAATAAAAGCATGTTCGATCGTCAATAATATGATAAAAATAATTGTATGTCGGTCTGTCCTTCAGCAAATTGAGCTGAAGTCTATGTTATATGATATTTGTATGTATTGGAATATATTTTGTTATATAAGTATGACAATAGTGAATGTTGCCAATAAGATAGGAATCCAATCAAATCAATACAACTGAATATCGTAAAATACAAATAAGCGAAAATTTACCGAAGATAATATATTAAAAAATTCACCTACATTTCAATTTACATATATTGTAACACTGACATAAGATAAAAAGTTGTTTTTCCCACCAACATAACATAACATCACGCCTTTTATCCCCGAAGACCGTAAGCAGAGGTGCACATTATGCCACTGTACAATGTAACACCCACTTTTCACTATTTATGTTATGAGGCCCATGTAACAGGGGGTGAGCCTATTGCCATATACCGGGCACAATTTCAGACTCCGTGCTTCTACTGAGATTTAAAAAAAAACCAGTAGTACTTTGCCCGACCTGGGAATCGAACCCGAGACCCCCTCTCGTGAAAAAATCGTGGTAAAAATACACCAAAAAATCACCCTTGAGTACAGACCACTAAATCATTACACAAGAATGTAAACGTATAAAAATTATCCTTGTGTGTAAACCTTTACTTTTCTAGCTCCCATTCAGAGTAGTTGCAAAAACTTGGGCATGAATAGAAAATATAGGACTATTTGTTAAAGTTGATGTCTGTAGTCGCCAGTGGGTAACCCTGTTATGTAGAAACATAGGGGGCAGCGTTTTCTAAATAACCTTCTTTGTTAGAATTAAAGTAATTTTAAATGACTGCCTCGTTGGCCGACTGGTCGCAAGTGCTACTGCCGGGCAAAGGGCATCGGTTTCGATTCGCAAAGTATTACTGGGTTTTAAAAAAAATCTCAGTAGTAGCATGGAGTCGGGAAATATGCCCGGTATATGGCAATAGGCTCACCCCCTATTACATGGGACTCATTACATAAATAGTCAAAAGTGGGTGTTACTTCTGTGTGTCACCTCTGCCTAACCCTTTGGGGATAAAAGGCGTGATGTTATGTATGTAATTTTAAATGAACGTTACCCCACAGTAGGATTTTCTGTTAAGCGTATCATCCTGGGATAACTATTTATAGCTAACCCAGCTAAACTCGCTACACATTCATATTTTTCTGTATTCAATCACCTAACTACTACTGAATGCATTGGCGCCTACACCGTGATGTTGCTCATTCAATGGCGCTAGTGTTGATCCGTTCGATGTCCAATGGGGAATTATCTAGCTTCACGTCATTGGACGTTGAATATTTGACAACTGCTATGATTGGATAAAAAATTTCTTTCTATGTTTGCGCCATCTTGCGACCAAAAATATCGTACCATTGTACTTGATATAATAATCCCGGTGCTTGCTAATAGGATGGATCCTTATAAAATGGGAATCGCAGATATATATAGCTAAAAAAGTGTGTGTTCTATTTCATTAAACAAAAGCCGTTATTGTCTTTCGGGAACAATTTTAGTATCGTCTTTTATTATTTTTTCAATGTTTTAATTGTCTCGTGTGATGAATGCATTTACAAAAGGAAATAAAACTAACATAATTATGATAACTAGACACAGAAGAACAATTGGCTACTTGTCACCTAGTCAAATTCCATACTTTTTTCGGACAGTTTTCTATGAATTTTGTACGAGATTGTGTATTGTGACGTCACGTTTTTTTAGCGTCAAACAGCACACTTATACTAAAGAATTTGCTAGAAAAGTACTAAAGTTAAGTTGGTCCGAAAATCAATTAATGAAAGTGTGATTATTTTTTAATATTTCATTGTATTGAACCGTCGAAATAATTTATTTTTGATTAAGGAAATTAAAGTACCCAATTTGTGCATCACAATAAAAACTGTTCCGAGCCGGACCCGCCATATTTTTCATATTAATCTCTCAGCCATAGCTACAACCGCTCGATCAAAATATTCACCGTCTTATATTTACAACATAACCTGCTATTCCCCAAAGAGACAGACATTTTGTATGTCAAGTTTCTCACACACATAAACAAAGCGTGCCTGTCTCAATTCCCCTCTCGTGTGTTATTAGGTATTGAGACCTACTTTTGGGAAAATACCTAGACTGTTGTTGGTTTAGATAAATTATTAGAATTATATTATAAGGGTTGGGCTTGGGATACACATATACATACATACAGATGTTACACATTTTAAGTGAGGGAGAGCCATGCTTCGGCATGAATGAGCCGGCTCGACAGGAGTGATACCACGGCCTCACAGAAGACCGACGTGAAACAACGCTTTCGTCGCATGAGTGAGAGTTACCGGAGGCCCAAATTACCCTTCCCCCCCTTTCCCAATCCCTGAGTCCCTAACAATCCTCAAATCCCTAATCCCACAAGGCCAGTAACGCAATTGTAAAGCCTTTGGTGTTCCAGGTGTCCTTGGGCGACGCCGATCGCTTACCATCAGGTGACCTGCTTGTTTACCGCCTTACCCCATAAAAAAATATCAAGCTAAACAAAACCGATATAAAATGACCGATGAATGTGTGCAATGTTGTATGATACAAATTGAGACAACTGGTTTTTAAATAGTTCAATGTATAGTCGTATGCTGTGTACTATAATGTGTTTAGTGTAGACTAGTGTAGTTACTTTTCAATTACTGTTACTATGAATGAATTTAGAGAATAATATTGTGTTAGTACGCCGTCGTTTTGTTATTGTAGAATGTTCATAGTATTTTGGTTTCAGATTTGTCTCATTATGTGCTCTATCGAATGAAAAAGAAATACAGGATTCAAAATATATCTAGATTCAGGATATTTTGAAAAATGTTTTAAGATCCTTCGGTTTATTATTTCACTATTGTTTCTACTTAACCAAAAGATGAACGTCCATGAATGTGGCTTAGAGTTCACCTTATGTACCATTTCTTATTTATATCCAAACAGATAAATAAAATTGGAGTGTCTATTTGTATTTTTGCCTGTCGGTCTGTTTGTACTGGCGAATATCTGAAATGGCTGGACCGATTTTGACGGGTCTTTTATTGGCAAGTAGCTGAAGTACTAAAGAGTAACATAGGCTACCTACTTTTATTTTGAAAAATTGAGCAAAA